ATCATGCCCTGAAGAAAATAACGCAGGTCGCCACTGGTAGCCATAAACCAATTGTAACGTAGCTAAAAGCGCGCGAATGTACGATGTTCGCTGCCGCTCTAGATGTAGCGAGAATAATGCTACCGATTTCGACGGAATTTCGGCGAAATTTTCTAGCGCATTCGATTACGAGTATATCGACACAGTCAAGTGGAAGTTACAGTGCGGTACGCGAAGCGATCTAATGAGGCGATAAACATTCGAATAATAGTTGAAGTTTTTGTTGTATTTAAAGTGAAATAAAGTTGAGTTTGATTATTTAGTGTAGTCAATTATTGGTCAACCCACTGGGAAAAACGTAACAATATAATAGATTTGAGATTCCACGACTTTCCGTACACATTTGGGGGACTTGCATCATTCCTTTAAGGGGCACAATGTTACTTGCAATTGTCACTACTACTTTTTCTACGTCTTCGTCTGTCACTTTGTCTTGAAGTGCGGAAAAGAATTGGAACACATCTGCAATATCGTTTCCTCTAGCTACTATGGCATCAGCTTGTCGTTTCATTGTTTCTCCAATACCATCAGCAGCTCCTTTTCTATGCCCTGATTCAAAGAAGTTACAGGATATTTTGCCGAAACATTAGGTAAAAGTTTTTTTTTGCTTATACTGGGTTGCAGGTCCATCAGAGAAAAAGTAAACAGTTGTTACAGTAGGGTGTTTTTTTTAATTCCGACAGAATTGGATGAAGGTGAGCTCAAATCGCAGAAGATCCAAGTTTCTAATTGGATGACACAGTAAATGGTATCTTTCTAATTCCTTGTGCTTCATTTCAGCTACCTTCTCAGGGTAATTGTTTCGTTTCTCCCGACAACGCCGCTGTTTTTCTACTGGTGTTAATGCATTCTTTTTCGCCATGATGATATCTGGAAATAGGAAATAAGTAATGAGTACCTTAACATGTATGTTTAGGTACTGGTTTCCTATTGAAGATGGAAAATATTGCATTTCATTAGTTCGGACTTCCATTGTCTGATATGATATAAATTGATTTGAAATCTCTAAAAGAATCTGTAAAAAATTAAAAAGGTTTGCTAAAAAATAACGATTATATTAGGCAAAAAACTGAAATTAAAATGTAATAAAATACAAGCAACAATTAACACGAGATGAAAATTGAAAAATTATTAACTAGAAATGAAAATTAAAAGATTCCAAACCAAGTTACTTCACGACGTTTCGATTGTTAGTATTCACAATCGTATTAGTGTAATAACTGGACTTATTCCTCAGTGATCTGACTATTTATAGGTCAATCGAATGATTTCACCTTTCCCCTATTTCCTTTCTCCGCTTCATCGGTTTTTGCGGAAACTGACCGTTTGACGGGAGTTGATCGTGTTCCATATGTTGCGTATCTCTACGCTAGCTTGGATAAATGCGTTGTTGAACAACATATATGCGGCTTCTTTGAATTTTCTGCTAAACCAGTGTTCCTCCTTGTGGATGATTTCAGCTTGAGCCCACTGTTATGTTGATGAGTCCAAATATGCTCTGCTATTCCTGATTTGCTGCTTTCTCCTCGCTGTGTGTGTTTCTTGTGCTCGGCAATGCGAACTTTCAATGGCCTCTTAGTTTCACCGATGTATGATTCTCCATTCTCCCCACTCGCAGGGTATCCGGTAAATGTAATTCTTGGAATCGCAGTCCGCGTTTGGTGGCCTGGTTTCCATGAGGCTGCTACGGATAGTGTTCTCAGATCTGAAACAAGTTCTGATGTGTTACTTGGACCCAATCCTTCTTATCCTTTCCGACAATCCTCTGATGTAGGGAAGTACAAGTACTGGTTGTGGCGGCTTCTCTTCCTTGTGGACATCCTGCTGTCTTCTAGCTAAAGCCTGTTCCACTATCACTTTGGGGTAACTATTCCGTTGAAGGTAATTTTTTGATGATGCCTAGCTCCTTTTCAATACCTTCCTTTGTATTACAGAGCCCGAAAGCACGGTCTAATAGAGCCTTAATTCATTTCGAAGTCGACTAAGACATCTGTTTAATCTTTGAAGTGTTTAATATGAAATTTGGTATGTTAATAAATAAATTGCGAGGTGGTTGGCTAAAAAATTCCTGACCAGACTATGATCAATTGAAAATTCAAAAATAATTTTTTTTCGGGCATTACTTTCATTCAAAGGTGATGATATCTCCCCATATGGAGATACCATGAACATCAACGATAAATAAGGTTCCTTAAAGCGGTCTATTTCACTTCAGCTTTCTTTGTGAGGCAGCTAGATGAAACCAGAGCCCGAGAGCTCGTGTCCCAACACTAGACAGCGCTGTTTTGACCCGCCAAGGTTTTATCAATGGTGATAGGCTGAACCACTCAACTGTCTTCAGAATACAAACCTGAAAGTAAAGGTGTTTTAACATTCTACTGTGGCAATGCCATATCCTCTTACGAAGATAGCATATGGGATCGACAAGATTCGTCCCACGAAATTTAAGTGAGAGTAAAGATGCGCGACAAAGAGCGTGTGCATGCCATTTGTTAGTGTAATCGAGAAGATTGACTTGTAAATTTTGAGCATTATTTTAGAGCAATAAGTGGCGGCAGACTTGCGCAATGGCACAAAAACCAAAACTTTAACGTATATCTAGAAGTTAATGTTTATAATGAGATGAGAATGTTTGATATATAGTTTTTATGAAACTTTCCGCTTATATCGTTAAGTGAAAATACCCCAATAAATTTGCAGAAAGTGACAAAAATCATATACAATTTTGGCGTATCTACTTAACAAAAATTATATAGAGAAATGATGAAAAGCTAACATATGTCAAGAATAAAAATGAACATAGGTGCAAATTCTCTCAAGAAATTCAAGTTTCACAATTTTCATAGAAATACTTTTTATTAATAAAACAGATGGTTCAGGTTTAGTTTCTGATGCGAATCTTGAATCTTGCTATGAATTTGTTAATATACTATAACAATTTTCAATTGAAGGTAACTCATATACAAATTGAACTGAGAGCTAATGGCAACAATGTTAAGTGTTAGAACTAAATTCTTACCGGGGTCATTTTTATTGTCTATGCATCGCCATTGTGAATAATTGAAAAGTAAGATGATTCCATAAAATTTACCCCCCGTAATAGGATAGCTTCTACATATCGATAGGATGTTACGAGCGAATACGTGTACCAGTTCGTTAAATACTTTGAAACATCGGTAAACTGACCAACATTTCGCAGGTCTATTATATTTGCGTCCTTAAAATGCCATAACTAGTCATTCAGTTTCTTCATTAGCGTCTTTATCTGCATAGGCGTAGTGTGTTCTGTTTTTTGTGAAGGTGACTTTGTTTTGTATTTATTAAATTTATTTTATTATATTTATTAAATAGGCTGTTATACTTATTAACTTTAAAATATAAGATAGAGTTGGCCGATACTTGTTTTTCAAAATACATTATCATATATTTTCATCACAGTCACATTTTATTGTAAGATAATTAGTTGACCTAGTCATTAAACACAGGTATAAATGTTCGTAAAACTCAGGTATAACTGTCATTAATTAGTCCCTAGAATATTATTAGTTTCTAGGTAGATAGTAATATTTCAAAAAGTATACCTATAGGTATAAATCACAATGTATGTAGAATTCAGTTTTTTAGTGAACACACTTGAAAAAGCTCCTATGCAGTGAAACACGTGTTGCGGATTTGTTAATCTCACAATAAAGTGTTTTTCAAAATACATCAACTTCAACATGTTCGAATTAATTTCCTCATTAGTATATAGAGTATTTGAATGAGATTTTGACTCAAAATAGGCTTTTCAATTACATTATTGTTGTTATCCAATAATTCATTTGATACATTTATATTTTCTTAAAGCCTACCCTACACCAGAGTGTCAGATTCGCACAAATATACTTTATTCTTCATAAAAGGAGAGGGATAACACCTGTGTCAAAACTATCACTGTAGTAAATGGAATTCGCTAACAAACTGTCATATATTCAATTTTTACTTTGTATTGTCCAACCCAAGTCCTCGTTCACACAAGATCCAACAAAGCACAGGAAAAAGTGTTTTTGGTATAACTTGCAATATTCATATAAAAGTAGTTATTTCGAAAGTATATTTTCTTTCGTATTATTTAATGTTTATATGAAAGTAATTGTTTCGACAGTGCTTTTCTTCCAGTTTGTGTCTGAAAGTTACTTCTTTGTATGCTCTACACATCTAGACTTACCTTTTTTGCAATCGATTGCTTCCTTATTCCTTTCTTTGGAAGATTTCCACATTTTCTGTATAAAAATGGAGAAGTAGAAAGTGAAAAAATTGATTGATATAGCCGTTACTACATGGAAGATCATCATGAAAAATGAAACTTTCTGTTTTCTACCACTTTTATTTGTACCTAACTATCGTTACTGCAGTTTCGTCCTATATGAACATTTTCAAACTAATACAATAAAACTGACATGTCCATATAGGTCGAAACAGCAGTAACGATGTTTACAAATAAAAGTGGTGAAAAACATAAAGTGTTTCATTCCCCATTTTTCATAAAATCAAAATCTTTTTTTTCCAAATATTAATCTCCTAAAAATATACGTCTCTCAATGGTGCTTTATATCTCATGTGGGAAAAGTGTTTTCATTATATCCATTTTTACGTCAGAGGTCCAATTCTACCTATCAAGAAAACTATTGAGAATGTACAGTTTGAGCAACGACTCTCGATAAAGTATATGATTTGAACATTTGACAGTTTTCTTCAATTCTATGTTCATTTTTCAATATTCACAGTTTTCAGTTTTGTATGTATTGTTGAAGCAGAAAACAAGTTTTTAAAAAAATTAGTTTCCATTTGTTTTTTCAATAAAAAAAATCAGTGATGAAAATTGTACCTTTTCTGAAGGTTCCAAAATAATTTTTCATCACTTTATACTCGAAATTTAGTATAGAGTTATTAGTTATTGGATGAAAAATAAAACAAATAAGTATTTCGACGGTGATTTATTTCTACAAACAAGTCACTTTAATCCACATAAATTATATTTACAAGGGTTCAATCACACAGCTTAAATAAGTGTACCTACTTTTATAGATAAATATATTCATATTTTCAATATAAGCTCTGGGCCTTATGCGTGTCACATGGGCAAGATACTCCTAATAAATAAGTAGACTCCATGATATCAGCACAATGGGACTCGCACACTGGCCCCATGCGAGGAGACTTATGGTAGTCTTAAGCAAACAAATCGAGTGATCTCGGAATATTAACAGTTTATTCACAAAAACTCACCAGTAACAATACAAAAATTATTATTTGATGTGATGTTTGAAATTACTAATCACATCATTCGCTACTGGAATGTTGTCTTTTTTAGATAATTATAGACCTCTAGATGTCTACTCATTCTAAAGTACTTGAAACATATGACGATAAGGACCTTTACTGATCATTTTCAGCCATTACTCCTCAAGGGTATTATTGGAAAGGCCACATCACAAATGAATAGCTATATGCCGAAGAAAATAAATAATGTTTTCATGAAAAATGAGGAATAAACCTTGTTTTTTTACCACTTGGATTTGTAACTAACGTATTTGCAATTTCGCCCTATAAGGACATTTTCAAACAAATAAAATATATACAATAAATATTGTTTTCCTCATCTCTTATCAAAATCATACTGGAAAGGTGAGTGTAAGTTTCAGATCATATAACAGACCTCTCTCCCCATGTTTACTGTGCCACTCTAAATTGAAAATAAGTTTTGATTTGTAGGGAGTAGATCTTTGCTTTTCTTTTTGTTTTCAGTAGACATTTCGATAATCAAACTGAAAAAATTGGGTTGGCAGTACTTGAATGCCCAAGAATATTTTACCAAATATATTGTTAGATATTTTCAAGGGCCTTATCAACAATTTTGGATAGTTGTTACACTTTTAATTGTGGAAGGCCTTGAACATTAGTTTACAAAGCACCATATTTTTGTTTCATTATTTGCTTCCTCAATATTTCCAATTTTGAAACTTGACTGTACATTGTGATACTTGAAATCAAAAGTAAAAAAAATCTTAATCGAATTATGCAATAATTGTCTATGAGCTCAAAATTGAGAAAGTAAAATACCTAAAATTCAGTAGTACAATCCTCATTCAAGTTTTTATGCCCTTTTCACCTTCCACAGACTAGAATGAGATAAAAATAATGATAGAAAACTTCAGAAATGTATCTTTTTGCTTCTCACATGTATATAAGCAGGGGAAAGGCGATTTCCTTGTTACACCAATCCACTAAGAGGCGTAACTGTTAGGACGAAGGTAACAACAATGCATGTAGAAGAAGTATCATATCTCAACAATATTAAAACCTTTGGTTTCACATCTTGAAAAAACATTTCGAATACTCGTTTCATAAACAGCGTTTTAGTGATATCAGAATAAAACACATTATTATTTGTAGTAATTGTTTTTACATATTTAGCCATGCTTTCAGCAATTACCGAATAAAATATTTTTTATTCGGGAATTATGTAATTATTTATTATTATATTCGGTAATTATTAGGATTATGTTCATTAGTAGCTTGTAATTAGTTTTGAATATAAAAAATGTAGTATATTTTATGTATGATTTATATTACCCACAAAATGAATCAGTGTTTCGGCAACTACATTTCATACAAATTTTGTTTATTCACCCAACGTCAAAGTTTTTTGCACTTGAATTATATACTTTCAGAAATACAATTTTGAAAACATTCAAAGGTCCAGTGGTATGTCATCTAATATCTTGATTTGATTGTCTTACAGGATAATAAAAAAAATATAAAGTGAAATGCTGTTTCAAACTGCCTGATGATGCAAAAACTGATACTGGAACTGACAGTTCATAACGAAAATGGTTTTGTTAGTGCAAAAAATCATAGCTCAGCCTAATCTCAACTTTAAATGCATATCCCCAAAATCTTCATTTTTTAAAATATATACACACTGAACTGGAAGATAAATTCTCTTTCTGGCATTTGTCAAAGAATTTCAGAAATATGTCAACAAAGGATATTTATGGCGGGCATTTTACACTACTTCTTTCAAACCAACCGTAACATAACCGAGATGTAATCGACAACTTTTTCAAATAGAAAGATAAGGCTTATTGTTGCAAAGAAAGTGAATAACCAAATCTATGTTACATTTAACTTTTTTCATCGATCTTAAATAGATTAAAAACATCGAATTTTCATAGAAATACACTTCATAACAAAATAAGCAACTACTCTAATAATAATTGAGCAAATGCTTCAACTCCTTGGAATAATCCTAGTAGATGATTAAATGATGAGTCTCACATTTCTGGTTCAATAGTTCATATTAGTGAAGTGCACACTCCGTATGTGATATATTGTAATTGAATTGAATCAAAATTTACTCTCAATAGAAATATGAACCGATAACATCTGACGATATTTTGAAATAGAACTTCCTCAAATAGATAGATTGGTAGGCGCAGAGAAGTGAAATGGCCAGCAGATTACCTGAACCTACACCATTAGACTTTTTCCTTTGGGGACATGTGGAAAACAAAGTGTATTAAACTGAACCACACGATTAAAATGATTTCAAGATATGCATAACTGAAACCATAACATCAATCAGACCAGGAATGGTAAATAAAGTGAGTTTGTTATGAAGTATATTTCAATAAAATTTAATTTTCTAGATCTATATTGATAAAAAACTGATATGTGCCACCAAAGATGCATCATAAGCCCTGCCTTACATTTGACAATGTCAATTACGTAACGTGACTTGTGGCTCACACTGTATAAAAAATAATGAAAGATTTCTAAAATAAAAGAATATATGGATAAATTAGTGTTCAGTGATGTTTTTGTATCACATTTACTTAAAATTAAAGTTCTATTATCAATAAATGAACTCGAAAAAACAAATGTATGACCAAACATTTCATTTCACCAAAGATTGCATGCATTATGGGAGACACATGAAAAAAAAAGTTCAATAATGCACATCCAATTAGAGCTACTTCGCCATGACACACTAATAAACTGAAAAGACTATAACAAGCTATGTGTGCATTGTTCCGAGTTCATAATAAAAGAAATAGAAGAGCAGCCATTTTTTCCATTCAAACGTCAAATTTGCATGGATATTTCGAACAATCACATGATCTATGTACCATTCTTCACTCTTGCCTATTGATTTTTTGATTGTAGTTGTTTTATATGTAATGACAGAACCAACAATCTGGGTTGAAGTTCTGTGTTTTTGTTCAGTGGTTGGAAAGGAGATAATCGCCTTCTATATATAACATTACATCAATATGTTTAATAATTTGAAAACGGTTCAATTCAAGTAATTTTTTTTGTATCAACTTTGATGATCTGCTTAAAAAATGGATCGGTGTGTTTTAACTTTTACAATTGACTTAACAAATGAGGTACATTGTAAAAGTGGTGACTTCTTGAATATTGCTGTCGGTTGTCTCACTCTAGCAGTATTCAAGTAAATGGACACACTTCATATGTTAAGTAATCTTCAATACTATTTAAATTATTGAATATCTAAAAGATATTTTTCATTGCACCAATTTCTATTCAAACCACAGTTATATCACGACTTCCAAAAAAATATGTTTATAAAAATAACTCGATATTCTTCAATCACCTAATATATAGTAAATAATTTTGGTTTTCTATAAAATTTTGAATGTTCAACAGATGTGCCATAAAAAAATAACCTTTCAATTTTCATCCAAATTTAGTTTTATTTGAATATTTTATCCAACAATAGATACGTATAACTACTCAATATACATATGTACAAATTCCTAATATCACAACTTTACAAATTAAAGAAAAAATAGTAAAACTCAATGTACGTTTCAAATCACGTCATCGATGCATTTTATCCCTCCGACATGAGGTTCGATAAAAAAATAAAATATGTATATATATTTTGCAGAAGGATAAACAATTGTATGATCTGTTTGCATAAAATGACCATCGAGGATCCTGCATAATAACTGGTACTGAAGTAAGAGACAAAATTTGCAAAAATATCAGGTAGCCATGAAAACAGTGGAAAACAATTTTTGACTTTCCCCAGAAAATATTTTGCTCTTCCGAAATATAATTTTCCAGTAAAATATTTTACATTCGTTGTGTAATACAGAATAAATTTTCATGGCATATCAGATATTGCTCAAAGTTTGTCAGTTTTTATGTATACCACTTTGATAACAACAACCCAAAAGACCACAGTACCTCGCTCTCCAAAATTATTAACATTCATAATATATAACATAATATATAATATACTTAAACTCAATAACTAATAATATTCATAATCTATAATTACATAATATTACAGCTGTTAGTTAGTCCATCACCGTGGTTAAGCTACACGTACTACTGCTAAACGTTTTAATGCCGCACTCACACTCGTAACCATACACTCTCACTTTCACAAACCGCCATAGCTAAGAGTTCTAGCCTAATCTAGGATGCCCTTGAATCCCTCGGGAGCACATCTCATGGAATGTGTGTCATATAAAAACTCAAATCAACGTAACATAAATAAAACAAGGCTCAACATAGAGCACGGTGCTGTGGTCTGTCTCTATCTATTACAAAAATATGTGGTTGCTCTTTGTACTTCATGAAGGCATCAATGTCAACAACTATTATGAGATTTCCAGTAACCTATGTACAGTGTAAGCCGGTATTGCACACAGATATGGTAACGTGAGGATTGTGAGGACGGCTGTTATTTCCTCTTGGCGTGCAGCATCTCCATGAGGAGGGTTTGCGTAGAAACGCCACTGTTGCAGTGCTTGTGGTAGAGGTGTTCTTCGCCTCGCGCTGCAAGGCTATGAATCTCTGGAAGGAGTTGTTGCATCTTGTTGAATTTGTCCTGAAAATTTGACATATCCGTTAACACTCAGCTTAAATTGATTCTTGTAAATTAAATTAGTTTCACTATTGGACTAAGTAACCATATTGATAAGTGGAATTTGGAACCTCCGGCGTGAAATGAATCTATTGAAAACACTTTTACAGCACAGAAATTCCAACAGATGAGGGCCTAAAAACCCAATACAATAAACAGTTTAAAACCAATGAATTTCGTTTTTCTTGATAATCCTCCAATATAATGTTGGGGATTAACGAGATCAAAAGTGAAAATAGAATTGAACTCCAGAGATTACCTCTCCTATTATTTAATAGGAGAGGTAATCTCAGTTTATATATTTTTTCTTTATTGATATTCATATGTGAAATTAATGTATAATTTATGCTTGAAATTAAAAAAAAATTAAGACAGAACTGCGACAATACTATTTATTCCGAGAGTATGTATTGACAAGTAAGCATAGTTAGAGGACGATCAAAATAATGTTGAAGGATATGTATAATCACCTCTCAATTGAAAAAAACTTCAGAAAGATCGAGAAATAAGGTTTTGAGTAGTGTTTTTGGGTTCATTAGGATATGTGATGAAATTAATGGATGCTTGAGACAAATCCAAAATGTATCAGTTTACAAACTGTTGTAAACTGTTCGGTGAAAATCTCACCGGTGAAAAACTCCAAGTATCACTTGGAGATGGCGATGGAAATTTCGACGGAAGGAAGATTATTCTGGATTATGCTAAAAATAAATGAGAATGTTCAGTTGTTAATATCAAAAATAACCCATCTTCTGTCGAGGATTTCACTGATTTATCAGAATCAGAGATTCCAAAAATTGAAATTTATTGAAATATTTTTCAGAATTTTAGGATGGTGCAGTCAAAACCTTGTTCCATTTTGAATTTGAATACAATTAAATCATCTCCATTTACTCAATAGAAAATAAAAAAATTGAAATCAACTTATAACGAGTCATTACCGGAATTTGTGGAAAGCAGGTTATTGTATATTCGAGTAGAGCCTGTTGGACCTGTTCATAGCCTTCTTCTACATGCTTTCTATTTGTGATGCCCCGGACATCTAAAAAAAAACAAAAACATTAGCACTAATTCAGATAAATGGGGAGACATGCATTTTGAATGGCCAAAAGAAATCTGTTGAAAACATCTACACAATGTTAAGAATGTGAAGAAAATAAAATTCTATATTATTTACATACGTTTTCAAAGATCACTAGTTCGAGAAAATAAATAAAAACAGAATAAGATGAAGTCTAAGTATCAAGAGCTTGCTCACCATACAAATATTGAAAAATTGAGTGGGAATTGAGGAGGAATATTGCTATATTATGATACAAGTGTACAAAATTACATTGCAATTCAAATATGCTAGATCAACTGAATGTTGAAACAATCACCATCAAAACTTTCAATCAACAACCTACCAGGTTAGATCTCATCAATTGTGATCCCAATAGCAAAGAATTTAATATACACAAAACAAAACTCATGGAATAAAAACAGACATACCAAAATACAATTATATCAAAAAATAAGCTGCAGAATGACTGAATAATTTATTGAAACATTCTTTCACCTCAAGATAATCCTCAGCAATCCACAACCTAACTATAGGTTCTGGTACTAAATACCCTACTAGTTAAAATTTGTTTGATGAGAAACAATAAAGTAATATCTCCGAAAACATATCTGTTGCTTCTCTGATTTTAAAACAGATTTTTAAAAGGGATTGACAATGTGATTGATTTTTCTTTACCATCAGATTGAAAAAAACATGCATCTTTCAGCAGTGTACCAGATTTTATTCATAAAAACTTCAAGTAAGGAATGGTTATTTATTCCATATAATGAGAGAACTAAATCCTGGTTGGTAGGGCGTGGTTGAATGGAAAATGTAGCCCAGATTTTGCTTTCTCTCAACTTTGGTTGCGCCAAAAAAATTCTAAATGATTTTTATGTATCCTACTAACATATTTCTTTCAATATATTATATTGTATAAAAAATATACTAACCGGGATTGAGAAGTAACAAGAATTTAGTACAAATGTAATCGCTAACATCGAATTTCAATTCTAGCAACTTAGTAGTGATGTCATTGAAATGATCAGCAAGACTGGGAACTCCTAGCAACCCCAAACTCAGCAGATCAAATTTCTGACCATTATGAAGGGTGGTTTCGTCAGGTAAGTTATTGTGCATTCGCTGGTGCATATGGTCCAAAACTAACATGTCCGACCATGAGTGCTGGAGAAGCTTCATTTGGTCATCCACCTGAAAGGAAATGATATCAGTTAGAATTGAGAATAGGTTAAGATCACTCATAGATACAATTTCATGATGCTTGCGATGGCCATCCAGTTGATGATGAGATGGCGAACAGCTGATAGATGATGGAACAACCCCCAAAAGGGTTGGTACATAGTGAACTGAAGAATAAAAATAATATTCATTTGTCTGGATGTTCGAATGATGTTTCATATTTTGAAAATCAGTGTCAGTGGACAAACATTGCATGTGGCGCAAGAACGTCATATCACATTGTAATAAGTAACGTAATATTACCGATTTGTCAGAAGATTTTATTATTCAAACATTAAAACATCGAGTTGATTTGAGATTCTGACAGAAATAATGTAGAAAATTGGTTTATGAAAAAAGCCTTCATTATCTTATATGATAAGTGAATCAATAATGAAGATTAAAAACATATAACTAAAACAAATAGATTTGTATCTGGTTTCTCTCGAAATTTAGCTAATCTCACGAAAGCTGCTGATGCCCCACTGGTCGAGTTCTTAGTTTGGTGAAATATGTTTGAACAACTGGCATTCACAGTAGAAATTGATTTTATGAAAAATGTTGACAGTTCTAGTGGCCGTTTCATATGGAATATTGTAAAATAATCTTAGTTGAATAATATTTTGGGGTAATTTAAAAACATATATATTGAATACTCATTTAAAAAACTCCCTCATTCCTTTCGTCTGATGTGCGTATTTTTTTACTTCGGAGCTTTTATAACGAACGTTCTAAAAAACCCCAATGGCTGAAAACAACAATCCAAATTATTTTCAAGTCATTGAAAGTTTGAGAACCGCTGAACGTGAATATACCAAATTCAGTGGTGGTGGAATTCTGAATAAAGATACATCAATATTTTGTCAAACGCGTACTAAGAATAACTTAGCAAACGCAATTAGAACCATATTTAATTGGCCTGTAAACAAAATACACATGTACGTCAATGATTCAATGGTAGAATGATAATGTATACTTATTTTGTTGTAATAAAGTGACTCATCGCGTTTGTTAAACAAAGATAGATCGCAACAGACTCACTGAACTTGGCCTAAATTTGCAATTCGTTTTCACTTTCCATTATTTGCTCATTTTACATAATCTTACTACACACTTTACTGTTCTTTTTTATTTTTCGTGCCATCTCTTTTCGAAACGAGTTTTGAATTATATGATGCAATCGACGAAATATAATTACATTTATCAATGTTCGTATGAATAAACATAGTTCTACATGTTGAAGATGATATAAACATTATTGAAGTATAATACTGATGTCCCTCAATCAATGTTTAAAGTGAGTTATTGCCATACGGAAAATAAATATAGAGGAAAATGGTTAAAAAGACTAATGAAATTAAAGAGATGAATTCGTATACACCGAAAAACAACTACTAAGTAGGTATGTGTATAATGGCTGGCGTTTGGAAAGTCTATCGTCCAGATACGACATCTACCGGACATATTGACACTAACCTAGATGGTGAAACAAAAACAAAGTCCTGTCAATTGTTTTTATGAATTGTTGTGGTTTCTTGTGCTTTCCGCAAAAAAAAACATAACCTATGTTTAACATTCAGTTATCCGATCAGCCGTTAGCTGTTTAAGTATAGCCATGGGAGAAATTGTTTCCTATTAGTAATGGTCTGCTTACTTGTCGCTATGGCTGGATTGCCATTTTAGTACTTTTGTACCAAATCAATTACCATTAGGTACAGAACTGGTTTATCATCAAACTGGCAATGAGATTCGCAACTTATTTAAATATTCAGAGGTCATAGAGGCTGCAAAGCTAATATCAAACTTCAAACTTTTGATCTACCTATTTTATCAACACTATGAACTTTGGTATGAGTCCTACGGCTAGAAAATCCATTTTCAGTGCTTTCATCTTCCAACCCGTGATAGAAATCGCACGTTCAAAGGTAAGACACTAATCCTTGTAACTACATACCTATAATAATAAATCACAAGTTAATAACCCCTAAACTCAGAAACCCGGATACTACAAACCCAAATTTCATAACAAGTAAACCCATATTAACATAACGCGTAATAATGTTACAAATAACCTCATAACCCAGAATACGTTCATAGTTTAGAAATGTAGGGTTTTGGGTTTTGGGGTCTGAGGACATGAGGTATGGGGTTATGAAGTTTTACTTGGCTACATGGAGTTAATCTAATCATTGGGTTTGGGCTCTTCGTGGGTTAGAGGTGTTTGGGTCGAGAATGTGGAGATTTCAGGTTAATATGTTTGAGTCTAGGTGATTTGGAATTATAGGTTTTTTGGCATGTAGGGATTGGGTTTGGGAACAACTTGATTCTGGATGTTATTCACCTTGAAACGAAAATAAGTTCATAAGGAAGAGTTGTACTTTCAAATGCATTAAGGGGTTACGAATACAGTCAAACAAGTTTTTGTCTTCAACCCACTGAAAGCTTTTAACTAGAAACGACAATGTTATATTTTTTGAAAGACATTTTTGTGAATGACTTAATAGGAAAAAGAAATTTAAAAAATTCTCATTAGTGCAGAAAACAACAAACTTAAAAAGTTCACTTCGATGTGAATAAACACTAAAATTTGCACTGCACAAATCTTGAGTTGCTTACTGAAAATGTCCATTATCTTATCATTTCCCGGTTCATGAAATATTTAGAAAATAATACCATTTGCATGGACTTCGGTAGTTCAGAAAAAATCGTTAACGCTATCGCTATGAGTTTCAAAAAATAACTATTTTTTTTCACTACAGATATGATAACGAATAGCCTCACTGATTGCGTTTAGGTTGAACGCTTCGGGAAAAGTGGGTTTCATCGTATAATAAAAATACTGAAAACAGAGATATTTTCAGTTATTTCAGTTATTTCTTTTAGAATTGTTTCAATTAAAACTATATCGTGATAAATATTGGGCTGTATGAATGAAGAGAAATGAAATATTTCAACCTCATTCCACTCCTACTGAATACGTCTTTTTTGAAAGATCTGATCAAAATCTCCTGTGTTATGCATTTGGCTCAGTCACTGTTGATCTTGTGACTTTTGACATTATCGGATATGATGTCTGTTCTCGACCTGGGCGTCGTAAAGTTTTACTAATTGAATCTTCGATTTCTAAACATGTGCAACAATCTTGTCAACTCATTAACAAGGTGATCACACTTTTTTTCCTTTTGAGTTTGTGTCCATAAACAAACCCAAAAATTTCGATAAGTCACGGCATGAAAGAATATGGCCATCCAATTGCACGTTAATACTAGCGACTGAATTTTGGTATGGGTTGAGCTTCAACATATTATTATACTAGACTTGAAATGCAATTATGGACGAATTTGGTCCGAACTGCAAAATACTGGTGCGAGTTCATTTAAAATGTACGCAAAGAAAGGGATATTTTTTCTTCTTGTTAGAAAGTTGCTCGCGTTGCTTGCAAAAAAGGGCGAGAAAAATATTCCCAATAACTACCTATAGACCAGTCGTTTTGCTATCAGTGATATTATCATTGAGGAAGTCGTAAACCAATAAATATTTGGAAGGCTTCAAAATATTGAGCGATAATCAATAAGACTTTTGGAAACAAAAGATCAACAGGCGACCTTCTATCGTATATAACCCATATTTGGAATAACTCTTATCGAGAAACATGGAGAGAGCTGTAGGGCCTGATATTTCTAAGGCCTTTGACCGTGTGTGGCATGAGCGGTTTGCCGGCCAAACTTTGATGCTATGACTTGTCAGATCATTTTTGAGTACCTACGGCTCTCCAGCTTCCTGATGGAACGTTCCCTGCAAGTGATCGTCGACGGATATCTCTCGAATACTTTTACCATCAACGCTGGTGTTTCACAGAGATTTATATTGTCTCCAACCCTTTTTTCTATTGTGTATCAACGACTTATTGGAGAAAAAACTAGAATCCAATATATTGCTTTGCTGACAATAGCACACTTGTTTCGTCATTCCATTTGGATTTCAGAACATCGGCGGCGGATGCACATCTTCACCAGCAGCAGGGTGTTGCACATCTTAATGAGGATCTAGAAGTAATTTCGAATTGGGGTAAAAATAATCAGGTTCAATTCAATTCCTCAAAAGCGCAGTCATCGGTTTAAATGTCTCCGAACCGAATATAATAATGACAATTCTACTTTCTGCTTTGATAAGTTTATTGAAGGTTAAAATGGACACCAATATGTCTTGGCACAATCATGTCGCTGGAATTCTTCTTCTTCTTCTTCTGTTTTTCCGTTAACCAGCTGTCGCACCCCTACGAATGACAACCCTCAGAAGTTGAAACTTGTGCGAGCTAAGGATTAACGAGGTCTTATCTTTTAACGTGTGATTCCTAACACGGGTTGGACGATAGCAAGTGAAGATCGATCGTTCAGACTAGGGCTTGAACCACCGACCAACACGGCAGTCAATTCGAGTGAGTGAACAAAGCAAGCAAAGGCTTTTCAAAAACTACACCTCACGATTTGATCTCCACAAACTATATTTGAAAAATATATCACATGTATCGCTAAGACATTAGCTTTTTCAAGTGATTTGTGAATCAAGTGATTTCAAGTGATTTATAAATCGCTTGAAAAGGCTAATGTCTTAACGAAACATGTGATATATTTTTCAAATAAAGTTTGTGGAGATCAAATCGTGAGGTGTAGTTTTTGAAATTACTATGGATCTTCATCAAGTAACGGCCGAATTAATCAGAAAATTGCAAAGGCTGCTTCTCAAAAGCTTGGAATACTGTTCCGAACCAGAAAACTGTACACACTTCAGACATTTTTTGATGTTTTATAAAGCTCAGATCAGACCGTCTTTCGAGTATTGTTTTTATGTATGGAGCTCCGCCCCTAAGCATACCCTGAAGCTGCTGGATTCCATCCAGAAAAGAGCCCTCCGCCTTATAGGAGACGCGAACAAGATAGGTTGGAGATTTGTCTCTCTTCTATAAAAACTTA